TTTCATCCTAAGAAGTTATTGCATTGGCGATTTGCTCCAAAAACTCACCCCTTCTTCATGAATTTTCCTTAGAGAGTTGCAGATGACTATCTCCTTAATTATCCTCGCTCCTAGCTCCCATCTCCTGCTCCCGCTCTCGCCTCGTTTAATTTTTTTTATTATTCCATAAATATCTAAAAATTCTGTCCCACCATTTCCTAACTCTCGCCTGCAATTTTTTTATATATATACAAAAATGATGGAACAGCCACATTTTCAGTACATCAGCTTTTACATTATATATATTATATGAAAATATCCTCCTTGTAAAAGCTTCTTTTCTATATTTCTATTCTTAATTTTTACTAATGTAGAATCTCTATGCTCCTATAAAAGCTTATCTTTTTCGGAGAAATTATATTTCTTATTTAATTTTAAAAATTTTATTATCTTATAAGTAATATTTTCTTTTTTAGAATAATAAATGCAACAAAAATAAAATAAAATTTTCAAAGTTGGAGCCAAGCTCAAATGAAAAAAATGTTAGAATTAAAATAAAATTTTTAACCCCGCTATAAAAACTTTTGGCTCCGCCGCTAAAGAGTTGCCTCTATGCAATCTCTTTAGAGAGGTCCGCTCTAATTCTCACTAGCTTCTCAAGTTGATAAATAACTAATTAAATTACGTTTAACCTAAACCATATAATATTTAGTTTTTTTTTTATCATTTTGATTTACAGTGCAAAGCCTCTTTCTCAAATTCTTCAAGTCCACTAAGCAATATACATTTAATAGAAAGACATAACCAAAGATAGGAAGTAGTAGATCTCTCAATTTGGACCCGTCCCGAAAATTTCGAGTTGGGTGACAAAAATCCGAAGCGGGTCCGGGTTTTCGGGTCCAAAAAATTACCCGTTTATAAAAGCCCGGTCGGGTTTTCGGGTTGACCCCCGGAAACGCCGGGAAATGACCCCGAATCAAGTCACGATTAGACCGCGGCTTGCACCTGCCGCTGCCGCCCGGCACGATAGAGTTTGCGTCCCAAGGCCAGCGTCCCGACGAAGTCCAGTTCCGTGTCCCGTATCAATTGCCGGCGTCATCCGAGCTATGCCAGCCCGCTAGCAGAGACCATCGCGCATCGTTATGCGCATACCCAACGTCTCGACTTCTCGCCTCGACCTGCCGCGCGCCAAGCGTCCAGCAGTTTCGGCCCGGCTGCTCGCAACTGCGCGAATGAAGATTCCCGTGTCCCGCATTGCGTCCCCAGCCCGATCCCGCACTTGGTCCGCGTCAGTTTTTTCTTCGGATCCGTGTCCCCTGGTGTCCCGGGGATTTTCGTTCACAAGAAAATTGACACGTTTGCAAACAAGGTTTTCGAGTCTCGAACCACGAAGAACCACAACGTCCATAAATATGCACAAAGGCCTTCAAACTTCCGGCTTGTTTCGTACGATCTCGAACCCGACCTCAGTAACCACGAAAATTGACACCCCTAAAGGAAGTAAGTAGTGGTATCAATATTCTGTTCCACCATGAATTTTTTATTCATTAATATTTTTTGGATTATTAACTACTATTTTTTAATTTATAGTCATAGTATTACATTTTTCTCTAACATAAATTTAAATAATATAAATACCACTTAAAAAATAATTTAAAAATATCACAACTACATTTAATCAATAATCAGATTATATAAAGATATTAGCAGATGAACTAAGCAATGTATTAATAAAATAATGTTGAGCACGCTCAACCTTCTCTATTTTTTTGACTCTTATTAAGTCCATATAAAAGAAATCTATCACTCAGATCTTTCTTATTTTTTAATGAAAATGTATAAGTTAATTATAAAAAACAGGTCTATTACTCTCTGATAAGGTTTGGTTTTTTATCACTTTTAATCTTTTTTTATTTTGGTTTTGTTAAAAAAAGAAAGTCACAAGTATGGAGCATGAACCATATGTGAAAGAAAAAAAAAAAAAAAATTTGTGCAATTTGAAGAATCCCACACGCCGCAAATAATATATGCATAATGGTGAGAGTAGAATGAAAATTTCAGATTAAATAGTATATTGCATAACATTTCTCTTTACCAGAGATAATATAGGAGGCAAAATTACAGACCGATGGAATACTTTTGGATTTAAGATATTAGGCTTTGTTTCTTTTAGTTTCAAATGAAAGTGGATAAGCATTTGTTTAGTTAAGATATTAGGGCCATGGAAGTTTGGAACATTTGTTATAACTAAATATGTGAGATACAATTTTATATTAACTGAACTACATTATAGGGTAATTAAAATTGAAGTCTTGATCTGTAAAGGCAACACCCAAGTAGTTTTTTAAGAATATTTAGACTTCGTCAATTAATAATCCTTAGAATAATGCGCATAAAGTTGCACCGATGCCGACATTTCAACAAGCTAGTCGGGCCAACTCGCACCACATGAATGAGATGTTATGTATTGTTAAGAGCCCAAGAAGATTAGAGTGGTGGGCATTGGATGCCGGTGGCCCGGATCGTTATTTACAAGTATAGTGCGATTCATCTGTCAATATTATTTGAGGAAGCCTTTACATAAATAGGAAAGCAATGCTAGCTTAGCCACGGTATGTTGTTGCATTAGTGAGTTATAAATGAGCAGCATAGTTAACTACATGGTGAGCAACTCATCCATGACGTTGATTGATGACGTTTGTCTGTTCTCAAAGAGCTGACATGTTTCGCCCTATGATGAGATAAACATGTTCATCTTTAGGATTGAGGACAAATTGACAAAATAATGAGTCTCCATCGCTGGATGACATGAGTGTTGTTGCCAAAAGTAGATGAACAACGAAGTCACTCTTCAGGATTTATGGCTAATTAGGGCTTCAATATTCATGTGAACTCACGCAGCATCGAAAATACGACCCGGACACCGACCCGAAAAATCGAATTTGGAGCCCTGAACCGTTGTTTGGAAAACGGGCACTTCCGATTGGCGTTCGCTCATACGAATCGACTCGTTTGCAGAAAAGTCAACTGCGTCGGGGTTCAGGGGTCAACCCGAAAAAACCCGTTTTAAATTTAAAATCTGCGCTGCCCGCTGCCCCCAAGAATTGTCGTGCCGACCCGCTGCCCGCGAATAGCCCGCGAAGTTGCCCCGCTTGCCCCGGACATGCCCCTGCTGAAGCTCCCCCTGCTGCCGCGCTGCGGCCTGCCAGCGCAGCGCCACGCACAAGCACCCGCGCTCGCCCGTTGGTGCACCGCCGCACCCGCGCTTGCCTGCTGGCGCACCGCCGCACCCGCTTCGCCCGCTCGCCCCCGCGCGCACCCTCTTCGCCCGCTTCTCCAGCGCACCCCACTGGTCCCGTGTCGGGTCGGGCAACCTGGCAACCCGCCGGGTCGGGTTCGGGTTCGGATTTCCGACCCATTTATCTACCCTGGTCAAGTTAGGGTCGACCCGTTTTACACCCGGGTTAGTTCGGGTTCGACCCGAACCTGACCCGTGACCCGAAATTGACACCCATATGGCTAATCATTCTAAAGTAGGATATGATAATTCATATTAGGGTGATATAATAACTCATTCAAAAATTAGATTGTGGAAAGTTATCCATCAGAAGATTAGAATTCATCTCAAAATGGGACATCATGATTCCTTGTTTTTTGTGCTTTGTTAGGATCATTCATGTGATATAATCAAATTTAAAAGTTTGGTCAAACTATCATAATGAGTTAGCTAAATTTGAACTAATTCTCACAAGAGATTGACGTAACTTCTAAGATTGCCCATCTTCACAAGCAACCACCTAGTTTAAGTTTCATCGTCTAAATAACAGTAGCATCATTGCCTAGGCCAACTTCTTAAAGATGTATTGACTCTCAGAAATATTGTTACTAGGATTAACTTGTAAAATTCATTTTCTTCTTAAAAAGTAGCAACACTTGTAACTTGTCCTTTCTATGTGAGCTCTTCCAATAGATTAGTTTTGAGAGACCTTCTTTGGGAGATCGACCTCTTTGTTATGATTAATCTTGTGTGACATTTTCTATCGAACAAATTATATTCATCATATTGGTGACATATCAAAGAACTTGCTCTTTCTTGTTCAATCCTTCTTAGAGGTTGGCTCTCAATAGCTCACCTACGAAGGTAAATACCCTCTATTTTAACTTTCTCGAGGTATAAAATTAAGGTCTGTCTATGAGAATAGTCCCGTTCTTGATAAGTTATTCTGAAAGCTTGACTCGTAATAACCATCCTTAGGAGCTCAATCCTTAATGTTTAAGTTAGCCTTGAGACCTACTTTTTTCTTCATAAGAGGCAATCATATTAGGGATCTTTCAAACTTTCTAGGCAAGTTCTCCTGTGAGCTGAAATCTCAATAACCTCCTTAAAGATGTCTAACTTTTATTTCAGTCAGCTTGGGCTAACATTCCTTCCTGATAAATTGCCCAATGAGGATGACATGTACTAATTAGAACTCTTGCCAAATCATGATGATTGACATTCTCCTTTATCAAAAAGTCTATTTGTGTTCCAAGAGATCATCCCTTCTATGCATATCTCTTGTGAGCTTTACTCTGGATGAACTCTCTACGGAGTTTAATTCCTTCCAACTTTTGATGCGTAGAATCAGCACTAATTTATACATATTTGCCTCATGCAAAGCTCATTCATATATAAAACTTACAAAATTGATTGAAAAGTTCTTTACGAATCAGATCTGTCTGAGCTATATTCAACTTGAAATTTAATTAATTATGACTTTCATATTTAAAAATCAAAAGAAAAAAATCTTCAAATACTTTCAATAAATGTATGTATATAAACAATAGATGAAGAAGAAGAAAAAAACTGCTTTCTCCTCCTAAGCCCCCACATCATCAAAAAAACTTCACATGCCTCCAATATATACGCCTTTGCTTCACTGAAATAGCTCATATAGATTAATTTTTAGTTGAACCCAACTCACAATCAATACTTCTTAGAGCCAAATCTATCTGTATATAAACTATTATTCAAGAAGTACTCATACAGATCCCCCAACCTCTTCGTCGCCGCTCGCCCTCGGCAGGAGATTTACCTGAGAGTGAAATTGAGCCGACAAATCCATCGAATGTGACGGTGTTGGTAAAACACTTCCGCGGCAAACCGGACAGCTGCTATGCGAGTTGAGCCACATATCAATACATTCTGCATGAAAAGAGTGCCCACAAGACGGCAACTGTCTAACCTCCTCCCCTTCATCAAACGTTGATAGACAAACCGTGCACTCTGGCGCGGCTTCTCCTTCCCCTCCACCAACCCCATGTTCCTTCTTACGATACTTGAACGACGGAATCCAACGCCACACTTCTGCTTCGTTTTGCCCGCTGCTTAGCATGTCACGCGATGAGAGGAATTGGCGAAACCAAGAGCAGCAACCGACGGCGATAGCGTTGGTGACAAGGAGTACGATGGCGACAAGTGCGAGGCCGATGACGAAGTAGTAGTAGTCGAGTTTGCTAGAGTTGTTGGAAGGAGAGGATGGTGGTGGGGGAGATGATGCCATCAGATAATTAGGAAAATTTTGATTTGGTATAGAATAGTTATTTATTGGGAATGGAGCCGGCCGCGGCCGGCTTCTTCTACCCACCGTGGATTAGTTAAGTACGGTGAGTATGACCTGTGAAGGCGGCCAGTACTGGAGCGCCATTGGTGAGAGGGGCGGGGTGCTTATTAGACGTGTAAGCTAATAAAAAATATATTTGTTTGGATCAACTTGGATTAAGGCAATGCGCTTTGAAATTGCAATCATCAATTTTAGTAGTTTAATACTGGAAAATTTTGGTAGGGAGGTCATGCATCTAAAATAATAAAATTTATATATTTAGCTATAGTTGGAGACTATTTTTTTTTGTTGATTTTTAAATAATTTTTTATAAAATTTTTTTTTACTATAAAGTTGATTTTAAAAGCTTTAAGAAAATTGTCCCAAACAAAACTTTAGCATCTAAAATTTGATGTTTATATCATCTAATGCCTCGTTAAAAGTGTTGATGGATCAAGTTCGATCTCGCTAGACAATCGTTGAACTTGCTGTCATTGGGACCATATACGTCTTCTCCAATTGAGCTCCCGCATGACTTCGAGTTATTGCTTAGCCTCGTTAATGTATTCAATTAGGGCTGTCAAGATCAGGAATTGATCTGACATTGTTTGACCCGACTCGAACCCGACACATTTTTGCAAATGAGTCGATTTCTCGGACCCAAACCCGACCCCTTTGGGTTCGGGTCAATCCGAATACGACCCGCATATTTTGTGGAGATTGCACGAGTCGCTTCTTCGGCTCCTTCGTTGGTTGCAGTTCAACTTCGCTCCTTAGACGACGGGAGCTCGCTTTCTGTGAAAGTAACTTCCTCCGTTTTGTCGTTGTTGTTCGGCTTCGTTCCGACTTTCGCATGACTGCAGGAGGTGTGAAGATTGCATGAGTCGCTTCTTCGGCTCCTTCGTTGCAGTTCGACTTCTCTCCTTCGACGACGGGAGCTCGCTCGATGTGAAGGTAACTTTCTCTATTTCGTCGTTGTTGATCGGCTTCGTTCTGACTTCCGCATGATGGCAAGAGGAGTGGAGATTGAATGAGTAGCTTCTTCGGCTCCTTCGGTGTAGTTCGACTTTGCTCCTTCGAGGCTTCAACAACGGGAGCTCGCTAGCCGTGAAGGCATGCGCAGAACCAAATAATTTTTTAGGAGGAGCGAAAAAAATTTTTACTCTCTTCTTAAATTATTATTTTCTTACTCTCTAAGGAACCTTTTGTCCCCCCTAAAAAACTCTTTTGTCCTAATTTGCCCTAAAATATCTATATATTTCTTCACATTTAGTTCTAGTATTTTCTTTCATACTTTTCAAGACAGTTTAATTACACTTTTTTTTTCTTTATTTTTCTTGCCTAAATTGTTTTAAAAAACTTTTCGTAATATGTAGATATATAATATTATTTTTTAATATTTAATTATTTGTGTGTTGTATTTGCCACCCCCCCCTCAAAATTTAAGCTGGTTCCGTCCTTGCGTGAAGGTAACTTTTTTGTTGTTGTTCGGCTTCGTTCCGACTTGCGCAGGAGGTGTGGAGATAGCACGGTCGCTTCTTCGACTCCTTCATTGCAGTTCGACTTTACTCCTTTAACGATGGTCGCTCGCTCGCTGCCTCGCTGTGAAGATAACTTTTTTCGTGTCATTTCGGGTCATTCCCGGGTTTCCAGGTCAACCCGAACCTGACCTTGTTTTGCAACGGGTCAGTTTTCCAGACCCGAACCTGGCCCGCTTCAGGTTCGGATAAACCCAAACCCGAAATTTTCTGGTCGAATCGGGTCCAATATTGACACCCCTACATTCAACCAAGAGCACCCGTGAGATTTCCTAATGTCAGCCTACTACAACCATTATGGTTGCCTCTCAATGACTGTCGTTGTTAAATTATTTATATTACAATCATTTTACTTTAAATTAAAAAAATTCTTTATTTATTTTATATTTATTCAAACAATTTAAAATATTTCAAATCTATTAAATTTCTTTTATATTATATTCTTCAGTATTTATTATTCAGCGGATCATTAAAGCAATTTCATTGTTTATAAATTTAAATTAAAAAAACTAAAAGATGCCTAACCTCATATACCTCGCTGACTGTGACTGCTCAACCACTCCCAAAGCTTACGAAGCACAGCTCCTAAAAAAATCAACCGCATATTGTCCGTTATTTTGTATTTAGTAAGAGCCTCATAGTTAGCTTTAATATTCGTTAATCAATCAGAATTGCGATTAAGCACCACAATGTGATAAGATAATTAGTTTAATCAGATTGGTTAATCTTATCCTATAGAAAGTCTGCAGCATATTCTGACATAATTTGCAAACTGGGTCAAAATCGAACTAAGCTGCTTTGCTGCTTAAGCAAATAATCATTAGTGTTAACAGTTTAATTAATCAGATTGGAAAAATACTTATTATAATGTCCGCCTGAGCTACACAAATTGAAACTTTATCCAAATCGGCAAAGTGTTGGATTTGCTAAAATAAACTAATTTTCAAATATTTAAAAAGGCAAAGTAAGAGATCAAATAAAATCTAAGTTAATGATGCAGGATACATTGCAAATTCAGCTTGTTGTTGCACTGGATCCGGAAATATCAAAATTACATGAATTCGATTTTGGAAGGCTTCAAACGCCAAGGATTAATATGAGGGCAAATAGTATTATTGTCGCTAAAATTTTTGCCTTGATATCCTCAAATACAATACATCAGGAGAATTTTTTAAGGTATTTGGATTTGTACTCAGATTAATATTGTATATGATATATTGACTGCGCTAAGATTAGTGTTGAGTTCTTTGTATATTAATCGTCCTAATAGTAATATAAATTCAAAAGTTTTGAAGTTCGTCCTGATATGTTTTGCATTACGGGCCGATTACATGACTCGGCCATGTTGGCCATCCTCATCAAGGAGCATCCAACATAGATAGATTGGCCCCTTGCAAAGATCTCGTTGAGAGCTGCATGATGATGGCATTCAATCATTCATCACCCTTATTCATAGAACTCCCACCAGTATTTCATCCCACCCCCTCTTTATCGCTTCCATTTTGTTCACTCCACCTGTGTGAAATCCCTTAAATAAAAAGAAGCAAAACTTTTAAACATCGAAACGCCTTTGGGTTTAGTTGTTAGAATTTCATTTAAAAAACTTCGTAGTTAAGCATGCTCATCTTAGAGAAATCTTGAGATATGTGACCTACTGGAAAGTTTCACAAACTTGACAAAAATGTGAGGCCCTTAGGCCAAAACGGACAATATATTGATAGTTAAGAATTTGGGCTATTACCTGCCATCTACTCCCATTGCCCCCATTTGTCCCACACCACCCCTCTCGTCAGCCACCAACTTCACCCCATTTTCCCCACGCCAAGCTTGTGATTCTTTAGAATCTAAATTGAAAGAATTACATCTTTCTATCTTTTAAGCATTAATAAGAGCATTTCAATTTCATATAAACATCAAAATATAAACAAAAAAATATAAGTGAATTTATATTTATTAAATATTTACAACTGATACAAGCTCAAAATGACATATGTATAAATGTCATTATACGAAATGATCCATACTATCTTTATGAATACATCATGGCTACAAAAGAATAATTACAAGATGCAGAAGGAAAGACATATGTTAGTTGTCCAAGTCACACCACGGGCTTCTTACCATTACTTAAGATATGTAAAATTTACATAATTAGCACATAACCTAACAAATAACTAATTTCTACAACTGAAGTCAATACATCAATTAGAAACATTAATTATATTTATGAGAACCAATAGCAGGCAATAGGAACAGTATCATGTATATCATATAAGTCATATACAGTCTTATCATATACAGATAAATCATCTACTTGACATATATCATATGTTCATATCAACATTCTATCAATCTAATTACATCTCAAACATATTATCACGCCCCATCTTCTTACCAAACTACAATCCATTTCCTCAATTCTTGGAATCTAAATGTTAAATACTTTTACAAGAATTTATAATGTAAAATATCTATTATAAGCAGAAGCTATCAACTTTTCATTTCCCAAAAAATTTTATTTTATTGAGCAACTACCAAAAATCAAAACATGAAGCCTTTTTTCCCTATTTTTAATAACTTTGAATTTTTACAAATCTACTAATGGCAGACCACTAATCTCTGAACAGATCTTTCTTTCATCAAAAAAAAAAAAAAAAAGTGGCGGTTATAACCGCCACGACACTCCAGAAAACCGCCGCCATTTGTATTTCGCTTAAATTTATGGCGGTTATAACCGCCACTATACTCCAGAAAACCGCCGCAAATTTACAATCAGGACGATTTCGCTTTATATTGTAGCGGTTATGACCGCTACATGGTTGTAAGAGTGCAGCGGATATAACCGCTGCAAAAATATGAATGCGTAAATAGCTTCCCCGTCGGTCATAAAACCGCTGCGGAAGGCCGTTGCAGCGCATTGCAAACACAGCGATAATGTAGCGGTTCTAGAACCGCTGCAAAGAAAATAGTAGCGGTGATAACCGCCGGGAAAGGTGAAAATTTGTGCTGCGAAAACCTTATTTTTTGGTAGTGTCCATATGTTTTTTTCTTTAGTCATGGATGTTCTTACTAGACATTAGCAAGAGTATGTCTGGTAGTGTATGTTTTTTTTGATGAAGATATTCTTATTGTTGATAAGACTAGAGAAAGTTGAAGAACAATTTGAATTATGGATGCCAACATTAGAGTCTAAAGGTTTTCATTTGAGTAGATTGTAATTTTAGTAGTAATAGATCTAGTGGTGGAATGTATGTAAATCTCCCTAATTTATAACTTTTGAAAATTATATCATAAAATAGTATTGTAAGGATTAGCTTTAGGTCGATTCAAAGACTAAGGCTTTATTTAGGACAGCTTTTTTACTATTTCTTAAATCAATTTTTTAGTATAATTTTTTTAATATTTGTACTAAAAAATTACTTT